GCAATGTTTTGTGTCACACTAAAATCGATAATCGGCACGATATGACGTGAAAATGCGTGCACGAGTGCGTACATCTACAATATCTATGCGGGAGATATCTGTGAATTTTTGCGTAATCATCGGGGTTAACCTCCTTGCAATACTTATTGCATAAAATATCTATTTACGTTTTTATATCCGTATTTACATTGCGCGCGTGTGATTTGCAATTATATTTTTTGTCGATATATAAAAAATAATTAGTCATTAACGAGTTTAGACCGGTCAGCACGAAATGATATCGCAACTGTTTGTTCGCCAAGTGGTCACGACGCGACGGTTTAATTTAAATAATGTATGTTAAAATCGGACTTAATACCACGCCTTCTCTCGTGATAAAACTTTGCGAGCGTTTAATTCCCCGACGATTATCGAAATAAAAGCCGAATTTATACTCATGGGACAGGCGATTCGAGTGAGTATTACCAACACAAAGCATTCTCGGCCTGGGATTGAGTAAATATGCTCGGCGAGTTATTGCGATTTTATGTCGATATAATCTCAGGGTATTATAACGACGTAATATCGTTTGGATAAAATATCAAAACACCGTGGATGAAAAACGAATCGTATTTTAAATAAATACGGTAGTTTGTTATTTAAAAAACGAAGAGCAATTTATATAGACCGAGAGAAATTTAATATTCCTCTCAGGATTATAACGTACAATCATCGCTTACATTCTGAAGATCAATTAATTTTTCATGCTTTTTTACACAAAATAGTATATATTATTTATAAAGTTTCAGTATGATAAGTATCTTTACTTAAATCTAACAGATTTTAAGTAATTAATTAATAATTTTTATCTATTTATACATAATAGATATATTTATCTATATAATATACATTTTTTTATACAAAATGTACATATATAAATTTTTTAATCAAAAGATATGTGTCGCACATTTCAAGAAATGAATATCAAACTTCGTAATAATTTACGAAAAAATACTATTCAAACAAAATTGTGTGTTTGTATTATATGTGTGTGTGTGTGTGTGTGTGTGTGTGTGTGTGTGTGTGTGTGTGTGTGTGTGTGTGTGTGTGTGTGTGTGTGTGTATTATATTTTAACAGATTCTTAATAATTACTTCATTTTATGACAGTAAATCAATATTTATTATAGAATCAATAACTGTATTTTTTCTTTACAATTCTAAAGTAATTTTAAACTACGGAAACTATTTGATCACAACAAACTATACATTTTAATAAAATATTCAATATTTTATTAATATTACTCCGATTGATCTTTGCAAAAATGTGAATATCGCAAAAATTAGTCATATCATTAGAGTTATCGCAAAAATTAATCTGTCCTAAGCTGCAATGGGAATTCCAAGAAATCGGAGCTAACGATCTGAAATTGCACAAAAACATGCTGGACCTTCGATGTTCACACCACACGATTAACATTAAACACTATACTGTACGGTTGTGAATGCTACTGATATAACCGATTGCTTACATGCACGAGCAAGAGATTAGATCAAGACAGCCATAATATTTGACGTTCCACGCACGTTGGAAATTCGACTCTTGTGGTTTCGGGATGAACCTTTGAATGTTGCAAGCAGATGCATGTTGACTAAATATTTAGTCGAAATTAACAGAGTTATAGATACTATATGCGAAATGTCACCAGTTCGAAATTTCACGGTTGCACATAATTTGACAGAATATTTATAAGATAATTATTAACAAAAAAGATAAGCAAAATAAGAAAACCTTACGTAGCGTAATAAACATCGTTATTAATAACTTTAATCTTATAATGTTTAATGTTATAATATTTTCGTTACATCTTATAATATTTAATTTTATTTTACTTACTTATTAACATCAAACAATTATCTTTAATTAAAGCAGATCGTTTCTTTATGTGTAATTTATGTAACTTCTCATTATATATGAAATAATTTCTATTTTTTGCAACTAAATAATTTAATGTTCAGTCGAAAGTACGAATCAAACTCCTATTAATATTTTTTGCAATCAAAGCTTGTAACAATTTATTGTCAATAAAAAACAAATCTTTAATTCAATTAATTAGAGAAAGGGAAATAATTTTTTGAAAAATCAAATTACGAAAATTAAAACGAGTAAATATGAATATTAATGCTAGATACAAATGTACATAGATATTGCAAGTACTCATTATATTATTCGCTTTAATAGTGATGTCAAAAATTAATTAGAATACATTTACGTAGCACATGAAGAAAATTGAACAATACACGTCGAAATCTGTCTCAACACGATGTATGCTGCTACATACCGTAGAACGTATTGATGTAGCAACTGATTAATGTAGCAATGTCCGATTCACATCAGGATTATAACTCAATAGATCCCTGATATATTATTCCGCTCGTAAGATCAACTACGCAGAATTCTCGTTAACGTGTAGCGTTCGGTGTACTGACTGCAGGCTTGAACAAATACCACTCAACAACGAAGGCTATACCACGGCTGTACCACGGATATGCCGTGCCACACGATCTCGTATAAACGTGTAACAGGCGGAACATTTTGCTCTAGATCCGCCCGATCAATCCCGTCCCATCTGAAAGCACGCGCTGGCACGTATCCTTTTAGAATCACCAAAGCCCGCCTGCACGTTACGATGGAACCCGTGAAGCCGTCCGGCAAAGCTCGTTCTATAATCTAAACAGAGTGGCGATTCGCCTAAAAGAAAGTCAAAACCTCGTTTCAGCGGATTCGACATTACATTGAAGTAGTTTTGTCGATATCAAACTGCTGTTGCAAAATTTTCGCAAACTCTCAAATACGTTTTAAAAAAACACGATCAATAAACATTTATCTCGAAAGATTTGAAAATAAATCTGTCCATGATGTAATTAATTCTTGTTCGATGATCAAAAGTAATATTAATATTGCAGTGGACTAATTAGTGAATTCAAGAGGAATTGAAAATTATTAGATTAAGCATGAATTCATAATTAATCTATACAAAAAATAGGAATATCTTCATCAATAAACAAAGTGTTACAATAATGAAGGATTTGTTGATAGATAAATTAATGTCTATGTATGTATTTGTCTATAAAACAAATTTCTATTCGTATCGAAACCATCCCCGATTATACGAAACCTTCTAGATAATTCCACAAATATGTAATTCGAAAACACTTTCGAATTATTAGTCCGTGATTCCGCAAATACGTGAATCGCCAAGCTTTTGGATAAAGCACTTATAGATCTCAGCTTCAATAAGCTCTTCTACTGATACAGCGTTCGCAATCGAGAGTTTCTACCTTGTACGCTAACATTAACAGCCGTTATTGTCGATGAAGGCGAGTCTGCGGTACATACTTGGCAACGGTATTCACGTCGATAACTTTCTGTAAACAGGAACACGTTACGCGTCTCTACCAATGTGTTGTAGTTTGGCAATCTTGCTGAGTCTTGCTAGAGTTCAGTGGATACGTAGTGCGAGCGTGAAATTATCAACTGAAAGAAAAAAAGGAAAAGAAGGTAAAATAAATAGAGAAAGAGAAAAAACAGAAAGAGAGAGAGAGAGAGAGAGAGAGAGAGAGAGAGAGAGAGAGCGCATACAAACATGTGCAGAGCAAATGGTATTCCAGTGTAGCGTACTATTACATATTGATCGAGCGCAATAAAGATTATTTAGAGCCCATTCAATATAATCTATTCAATATAAATTAAAGCATGCCTAAAGTATGCCTATTATTCCACTAAAGTGGAATCACATGAATGATACGTCTAAAGCATGACCTATTATTCCATTGAAGTGGGAACATACATTCGCAATATCTGTGAATACAAAATATTATTCTATAGAGTCTAATTATACTGCCGACTGTTTTCCTAAGAAAAAAAGATAATCTTCGCGGCTGCATTATGTAATCAGGCTGCGTATTCAAGATAGAGGCAATTCATATGGTTCAAGAAGAATTATGACAGCCGCTAATAACCAGTCTGATACGAACAAAGTTCGCCGATCTGTCAGCAGCGACAACATCATAATTCTCGCGAAGACGTCGGAGACAGCCGCGGGGTCGACAACAAGATAGACTCCTCGAACATCGTCGTGCTCCGATGCACCCTCGCAGTGGTCATCTCTCAGTGGCCGCGGTGCGGCGCCGCCAGTTGGCGAGATAGACGAGGAGAGAGGTAGAACAGACAGAAGAGAGGCAGAGAGAGAGAGAGAGAGAGAGAGAGAGAGAGAGAGAGAGGAGAGAAGCGGTCTGCGCGTAACCGGTCCGCGCTTTATCCGCGGCGAACGCAGCAAAGTCATCGCGCAAGCGCGCGGTGACGAAGTATCCCCCGCAGGATCATTTCGCGCCGCGACGCCGAGCGGCAGGCCTCATCCGCGCCGGCGGCTGGTCCATGCGGGTTCAACGTCGTCGCGCGGGAGGACGACGACGACGGCGACGACGATCAGAGGTGTACGATGACGATCGTCTGGATTAACATTGCTAGTTAATCGGGAAAAAAAAAAACGCGACTCGGATCAACCTGATTGCTGATCGAATGCTGCCGACGCGCGCGTCTCGGCCGGAGGATGCTGCGCCTGAGACAGGGTACTCGCGGGTCGCATATCGCGACGCTCGTCGTCCAGGCGAAAGCTCCACGTGAGCGCGGCTGTCATCGGGGACGCGTGCAGGTTGCACCTAGGCCGCGTGAAAACGGAACATCATCTGTAAGCGTTTAGACCTTGATTACCGTGGATTATCGTCGAGGATTTACGATCAATACGCGCATAATATCTGACAATACTGCTGATATATCGTACCACTCTCCGTCTCCTACGCTTGAGAAGCTTTCACGCCATTCAGAGTTGATAGTTCTAATAAAATCGTGTCATTACAGTGGTGAATGATTAATCTCCTCGCTAGGTGTTAATCGTGGTGCAATTTCTCTATCGGAACGTAAATGTAAGAATTAAAAATTGCTTATATAGTGAAGTACAGAACATGTGTATGGTTTTGCAGTGAAAGTCTTAAGTGTCTATACTCTTTCGAAAAGGCACTATCGATTTGGCAAGAAAACTCAATTCTGTTTTCATTGTGAATGATATGACACAGTGAAGACATTGGACGTGTGCGAACCTGGGAATATATGTAAAAATCGATGGTTATACGTCGTGCTTCACGATAGCGAGTACAAGCAAGGATCGGTAGTGCAGCGAGCGATCGAGGTGTTAAAAATGCTGTGTCGCTGGCTCGCCGTGCTGGTACTCGCTGGTATTCTCCTGGTTATCGAGGCGATCGCAGTCAACCAAGGTACGTTGCAATTTCGCTCGAAATCCTCAGAATGTTAGCGAACGACTAACTTGTCCGATGAGAACTTGACTTTGTCAACGAAACTTACCACGTTCTTGCGGAAATACTCAAGATAACATACTCCTGTGAGACTAATCTACGTAATTGAATGTCAACGACAAAATCTGATATAGTACCCTCATTTTCATCGCGTTCATCTAGAAAACTTATTACGTAGTAATAAAAGTAAAGTACTACTGCAGAGTATAACCTTTCCAGTCATGCTGTAAATTTAAGTATGTAATAAGTGTAATAATAGGTCTTCATATATATGTGTGATTTAATTTTCCACGTAAAAATAACACTGTACTGCATAAAAATAGATTTATACATTTAAGTCTGTAAATCTATTGTGTAATATTCTCTCTAAATTCTTTAAAATAGAATCTCATTCTGAAAAGTGAAAATTCTGCCAGTCTTAAAAGAATTTTTAATCTTTAAAAGTGGGATTTCACTCTTCAGAATAAGATTCCAAAGGATAAATCCAAAGGATTTAGAGAATACAGTGTCATTTTTTACATAAAAAATAAATATTACATTTATAAAGACACTTATTACAACTTGAATTTATAGGTATCGATTATAAATATCATCGATGCTTTTTCACGCCTCGTCTTCTCTTCTCGTGCGAGTATAATACACTTCTATTACGACTACACACTTTTTAACGTTCGCATAGAAAAACATAATCACTAGTAAAATAGGTGTTCTGTAAAATCAAACGTGTAGCGTCGCAAGAAATCTCTGCTCCATTACGCTATATTGGAGCTTTAAGAACCTTCGCAAAGCAAGTTAAGTTTTTTCGCAGTCGTCTACCTCTAATCAACGCGCGCAGTCTTGCATTACTAATCACGAATTAATGAGAAACACATGCTCAAAGAAATTCTCAGATGCTAATTGGAACCAATACGTACTTAAGACTGGAAATCAGATTTGCACAGCGTTATTTTAAAGACAATCTAGATCTTTTCTTAACTCCAATACATAATTA